CACACTCTCGAGCTCCCGGTGGACAGACCAAACTTGAGACAACCCAACCTACTTAGCTGCCTGCCTTCTCTGTCCTGTCCAACTTCCTCTCCTGCCTTTCAGATCCCCCTGCCCCAAGAACATTCCAGGGAGAAATCAGACACACAAGGATCCAGGTCTGCCTCTAAGAAGCTGACCCTAAGAATTTAGTGAAATGGTATTTTGGCTTCTGAAGTCAGATGAGCCCCAATTTGAAGACAAGAACGCCCGGGGATGTAGCCCAGTCATTGAGCACTTGATTAGTATGTGCAAAGCCCTAGGTAGGCCCCCAGTACCATGAAAAAAAAGACACTAAGAAGAAATGGCACTAGCATTTCCTTTTATGCTGTACATCTCCAGACTCGTTATACTCCATTTAACATTTACTTACCAAATGTGATAAGCAGAGTACTTCTTCTGAATGCTTCATTTATTAATATCTATTTAGTGTCAGTGATGCACTAAAAGGCATTAGAAATATAACACTGAAAGGCATATGATTTCTGCCCTAAAATCGTAGGAAATTAGAAATGTCAACATCTCAGGATGTTGTCTATACCCAAGAACAGAGCCATGCATCTTTCCCAGGCTCCTCTTCACAGGATCACGCTGAAGCTTGAACCCTGCCACCCAGTTAAGCTGTGAGTAAGAACTGCACTTCATTGCATTCCTTCTCAGAGGAAGCATGCTGTATGCATAAATCAGGCGCCAACCTGTCCACCGCAGTGTCTTTACAGTGTCAGTAGAGAGCTGTGCACAGATCGACTGTTGCTTTTTCAAACTCCTTCCCCTTGATTGGGAGACAAGTGTAAATGTGTTATTTCCTGCCGATCTTCCAGGGAACAATGTAATTTTCTGTTGTTTTCCTCTAAGAAAATATTCCATGGTTTGGTTCCCCTTATGAATAAGGCTTGTCTCTGTTTGAATTAGAAATATTTTCCTTCTGGGCATAGCCTAGAGCCAAGCCAGGGAAGACTGTAGCAACAATGCCACCATACTGATTCAGGCTGTGTTTGCTTCCTGTCCAGTGCAAGAAGACTTTTAAGGCAAGAAGTAAAAGGTGAATTTTTAAAAATGTCTTCTTAGGGGGCTGGAAAAATGGCTCAGTGGTTAAGAGCACTGTCTGCTCTTACAGACCACCCTGGTTCAGTTCCCAATACCCACATGGGTAACAACCATCCTAACTCCAGTTCCAGGGAATCCAGTGCCTTTTTCTGACCTCTGTGGGCATTGCACAACATGAGTGCACTTATATACATGCAGGGAATACATTCATACACATAAAATAAAAATAATAAATACAATATTTTAAATGTCTTTTTATGCTTCTGCACATGTACCCAAAGTCTACCTTTTTCATATGAGGGAACGTCATCTAAGAAGCAACTTATTTTCCAAATTTTCCTTTTCAAAAAATTTTAACCCTTTATTTTTATTGAGAATTTCATAATATACATAACTTGTTTAGATCAAATCACTCCCTTCCCTTCCCTCCAATTCATCTCCATCCCTCCCATCACGTTTCTCTTCCAAATTCATGTATTCTCTCACTCTCTTATTTATTTTAATTTTATATGTAATAGTGTTTTGCTTACATATATGTAAGTACACCCAGGTCATACAATGACCATGGAGACTAGAAGAAGGCATTAGATCTCCTGAAACTAGAATCACTGATGGTTGTTATCTGCCATGTGGGTTCTGGGAATCAAACCAAGGACTTAGGCAAGAGCAGCCAGTACTCTTAACTGCTAAAGCATCTCTCTAGAGCTCCCTGTCTGTTTTAATGCTTCCTGTATGTGCATAGGTATAGGACCATCTACTGAAGCATGGGTAGCCTTATAGGGGCCACTTCCCTAAAGAAACTTACTCTCCCTCCCTCCAGGAACCAATAGCTCCTCAGCCAAGGGTGGGATTTCATAAGCCTCTCCCTGTTCCTGCTGGAATTCGGCTGGTTTGAGCTTGTGCAAGCCTTGTGCATGCTGTCCCAGCTACTATAAGTTCATGTGTGCAACACCTTGTCATGTCCATCAGATAATGTTTTGCTGCAGATGTCTACTGCCTCTGGCTCCTATAATCTTTCTGACTCTCTTACACTGTGATCCCTGAGCCTTGGGGGGAAGAGGGTGTTATATGGGTGCTCCATTTACAGCTGAGTACTCCACAGTCTCTTATTCTCTGATTGTTGACCAGTTGTGAGTCTCCACATTAATCACCATTTACCGCAAAAAGAGTATTCTTTAATGAAGGTTGAGAGATACACTAATCTATGGTTATAAAGATAAGGACTTAGGGTGATGTTTATTACTATATCCATTTAGCAGAATAATTGTATTGGGCTATCTCTGAGGATCTAGGATCTAGACAGCAGCAGGTTTTTGTCCCAGCTTACAGTACTAGGCATGAGTTCTGTCTTGAGAAGTAGACCTTAAATCTAATCAGAAAGTGATTGGTTATTCCTGTTACATTCATGCCACTGTTGTGCTAGAGTGCATAGCTTGCCAGGCTAGTTATCATTGTAGCTAGAAGGTTTCACAGCTGGGTAAGATTTAACATGGAGGAGATGGAGAGATATTTCAGCACTTAAGAGTACTCGCTGTTCTTACAGTGGACCAGAATTTGGTTCCCAGCACCCAAGATGTGTGGCTTACACCCGTCTATAACTCCAGCTCCAGGAGATTCAATGTCCTTTCCAGGCCTCTGTAGGCACCCACCCACATACATAATTAAAGATAAATAAATCTTTAAGGTTTTTTTGACATGAAGATTTCCTGTTTTTTCTTAACCTCAACTTTTCTCATGAAACTGTTGGACTGGAGGAATTCTTAGGTTCTGCTTGTCTCTCATCTATTCTCATTTCTGTATGTCCTTTTCCCTGGACATGCTGCATTTGAACTCTATTAAAATAATTTCTATGAATAAAGTTTTACTCTGTAGGCTGGTTTGTCCTGAATATCATTATGTAGCCCAGACCAAACTCAAATTTACATGAAATCCTCCTGCCTCTGCTTCCTAAGTATTAGGCATACTTAGGAGCACAACCCACCACACCCTAATAAGTTTTTTATCCTTATATCAGAATTAATTGTTGTTGTTTAATTAAAAGATCTAAGGAAGTTTACATGCATGTTTCTCTCTTTCTCTCTGTAAGTATGTGTGTATGTGTCTGTAACTTAGTAAGAGGACTTATCTCTTGAGCTCCTCAGACTTAGTTTTAGGGGTTTTTTTTTTCCATGACAAAGTTGCCATGTAGACCAAGCTGGCCTCAAACTCATGACAGCTCTGCCTCAGTCTTCTGAGTGCTGAAATTATAGTCTACCACTATGCCCAGCTCTAAATCTAATAATTCTGATTAAAGTAAAAGGCCAGAAATATTAAAATGACAAAAATAGCTTATGTATCAGCCTTGGATAATGGCTTTAATGTCCCTCAAATTCAAATGCAGTGCAGTACAAAAAACTAAAATAGAACAATAGACTTTTTCTTGCCTACAACTCAGAACAGTCATGAAGGGCGTATGGCAGAGCAGGAGGAGTCTCTGCCCCACAGTCACTTTGCAGTCCTTCTGTTCTGGAGCACTCATCTTCGACACATGACCTCTGATGTTGCTACAAGAGGGAATAGAAAGTGGAGAATCACCCACAGGAAATTTTTATGAGCCATAAAAGATTGGAATTGGCCTCATTTCCTGGCCCATACTCAAACCATGAGGTTCCAACTGGATTGTGATGAGGCTGCAAAATGTAGCCAAGCAAAGTGCCAGGCAGAAAGGGAAACCAGGAATATAGGTGAGCTCTCAGCTCCTTGGCCACCTCTCATGGTCAGACTCTCTGGCATTCTGAGGGTGAGATAAAAGGATCTTTCCAACCACAATTCTCCTACATATTCACCCTATGCTGTCTTCCTGTGGCCTCCTGGATTCCCTTCCCACATCTTTTCACCCTGATTCATCATCACTGTCTTTCATCTGACACATTTTGGTGGGAGAGGTGATGGAGATGTGGTTGCCCTGTGCTGATAAAATGGACTCTCAGGAGCTAGCTGAGAAGGACAGCCTACCAAAAACTTAGTGGGAATTGTCAGCAAGGGAGCTGAAAGAGGCATCAAGAAAGCTGGGCAAGGTAATTGAGTTGCTGTGAGATGGAAATGAAGATTCAAGTAGAAAAGCCCATGGTGAAAAGTTTATTTATCCCAGCTATAGGAAGTGATATTTTGAAAACTTTTATGAACTTAGTAAAATTTAGATTGAAGATCCTCTCTCATGCTAACTGTACAGAAGGGCCAGTGTTCAGCACTGTTTTAACAGTGAGACATTCCAGCTGTTATTTCTTTTTAACACTCACAAAGGTAGCACTATACACTTATCCAATGACCTGGGAGGACACTTTTTATATATGGAACACTGTTTTTTGTTGTAGTTCTCTTCTGACATGGAATGGGAGGCAAGTCTGCAGTGGTTAGCCTAGGATGGTAGACACTCAGCAAACCTTCCCCAATCAAAGCTGTGTCAGTGGTGTGCCCACCCTGTCCACATGCTCCTCCATTCTGCATTGAGGAACTGCAAAATTGCTGATAATTGTACTTCTCTTGTAATATAGACTCCCTCTAGGGGGACTCCTTGCCCAAGACTCTTGGGTCCTGAAAGACACTAGTCCATTTTTTCGGTCTGGTCATTAATTAATAAGAATTAACTCTCCTTGTTTGTTATGCTTCATTTAACAAAACATTTCTGAAAATAAGTTCCTGTTTGAATTTGTAAGTGACATTTCTTATGCTTAAAATCATTGCTTTTGGACAGTTTATTGGAGACAGCAGACACTTGCCAAGAGCAACTCCCATGAAGGGTTTAACAGCCATGAATCCTTGGTAGTGCAGAGCAAGTGGCTAGATTTGTGCCTTAAGTATTGAAAGGAATTTGGTAAGCCTGTCCTGAAAGCTGCATAAAACAACCACTTATTTGATACACTATTTCTTTTCCCCAGGGATTTCCTGGAAAGGACGGTTCCTCTGGCCCCCCAGGACCACCAGGACCAATTGTGAGTATTTCCAGAAACGTTTGGGATGAATTCTGCTTTAAAACATTTCTTTGTAGAAATTTTCTTCTGCTGGGCTATTGCTGCCATCTTTGCTATAGTTTAACAACTGCTTGTCTCTTGGTACAAACTTATAGCATCCTTTAAAAATGACATATCCAGATGGTCTGATTATCCACTGAGCCATTTTTCTATAAGATTGTCTACATTCATATTTAGTTTCTGAAATTTAAATTTTATACTTTGGAGAATTTCGTACTTGACTACTGTATTTACATTATTTCCACCCTCTTTTTCCTCTTCCAACTTCTCCTGTGTCCCCCGCTCAAATTCATGACCTCTTCTTTAATTATTATTATTGTATACACATATGCATATAAAGCTACTGAGCCTATTTAGTGTTGCTTTCATCTAGATGTGTTTAGTGCTGAGCAACACGGATTGGAAAAGCTATCAGGGAGCTTGTCCTCTCTCAGCATCTATTGCCCTTAACCTAGAGGTGGGATGCTGTGTTATTTCCTCCGTCCACACTGGCATGTCAGGTGGCATCGTCATTATGCAAGTCATGTTTAGACCACTAAAATGTTGAGATTTCATGAGTGCTGCTTCCCTGTTATGTCTGGAAGGTACTATCTGGCAACAGGCGTAGTTTTTATTATACATAAATAAGGCTTGAATTTGAAAAGCCCACACCTGAGAAATTGTATGGAGGCTTAAAAAACTGTCTTCTCATGTTGGGTAGTTGGGCACAGGAATAAGCAATGAATCTTGAATTTTTGGTGAGGGGGAGAGAAGCTGTCATGGCATATCTAATTATCTCTGTTTGAAAGTCGGCTGTCATCCATCAATGTATGAGACTTCACTTTTGTTCCATTTCCTGCCTCCTTTTTAGGGCATTCCTGGAGCCCCTGGTGTCCCAGGGATCACAGGCAGCATGGGACCACAAGGCGCCCTGGGGCCACCTGTGAGTACACAGCCGCAGTTACGATGCATGTCATGTCATCGTTTATTTTTAAGTTTAAAGTTACCAGCATCCCTGTGGATCTGAAATGTTTGTTCAGAATTGGACTTGATGTGATTCCAGACAGGAAACTGGAGAAGCTTCTAGGATAAAGATTCAAGATGAGTTTGTGCATATTCCATGGCTACTATTAAATGGTCTTACTGGAGCAATCGACCAGGCTTTTGCTCATATGTTCTGTATTTGTCTAAGTAAACTCAGTATCATCCTTCAAGTTTCGGTATAGCAGCTAGGTGTTAATCAAGCTTGGCTTCCAAGGAGGAAAATACAAAGCTGGAGAAATTCAAGGTTTAATGAAAATGGTAATCTTTATATTCTATATTCAAACACAAAGATTACATTTCTCACTAAATCTCATGCACACATAAGCAACCGGGGTAAATGAAAACTCAGTGATCGGAAACTATTACTTCCTTTTTTTAAGTGTCTAGCCTCTTACATTGCTGTTTAAATGTCCCCAGTGGGAGAGAGTAGAGAACCAAGGTCTGTCTGTGGTCTGCTTCTCCATCTGTGAACTAGATAATTGCATCATGTTCTCTTCAAAGCTATACTTCATATCTTCTGTGACTTGCAAGTTGTTAATTCTAGGTATAGATATCAACATTCTGACATCTGCACTGTACTGTTATCATAAGTAAACTAAAATAACCAAAATACATTAAAAGTCTTTACTACTTTGAGATGCCTTCCATTATATAAGGACATAACAAGACAATCTTCACCTGATGCCAACACCTTGATTTGGCCTTCCCAGCTTCCAAAAAATATGACAATATTTTTCTTTGTAAATTACACTGCCTATCATATTATAGCGAAAGAAAATATACTGAGGCAACTCAGTAATTGTTTGTGCATCTTAAAATGAATCAAGGGATGCAAAGGAGATCCATGATGGCTAATGTACTCTCTCCTTTGAAAGAGCACCTCTCACCCTTCTCGGGACCTGAGGGAAAAGGGGGATTCCTATTCTGTTTCCAAGCCAATGCCAATGCCATGAGCTTTGCTATAAAGAAATGGAAAACCGTTAAAAAATATAGGCCTTACAATAGCTAAGTTTAATATTTTATTTTATGTTTGAGTGTATTGCCTGCTTGTATGTGAGTGCACCTGTGTTGTACAATACCAGCAGAGGTCAGAGGATCTCAGATCCCATTGAACAGGAGTTACAGACAGTTGTTAGCTGCCATGCAGGTGCTGGGAATCAAACCTGGGTGCTCTGCAAGAGCAGCCAGTGGTCCTAACCACTGAGCAATCTTTTCAGTCTTTAGAATATATTCTAATATGTATTCAAATACATATTTTTCTAATACATATTTACCACTAAACAATTGAGAAAGGAAAAGTTTTTAAATGAATTGTGCTAAGAAACATGAAAATAGTCTTCACTACTACAAACATGCCAAGAATGTAGTGGATGGGTGTAGAGGTGGGTATTAATTAGACTTCCATCACTGCTTAACAAATTATTATCATCTCAGTGGCTCAAAACAATACAAATGTATTATCCCACAGTTTTGTAGGATGGAAGTCTGGTGCTAGTCACACTAGGTTAGGAGTAAGGTGCTGGTGTTTCTTTCTGGAGACTCGGAGAGAATTTAGTTCCTTGACTTTTCTAGCTTCTAAGTGCTGGCCACAGGCTTTGGCTTGTGGTCACTTCCATCCTCAATTCCAGCAATGCTGTATCTTTCAGTCCTACTTTCCATGGTCATCTCTCCATCTCCCACAGCTGGGAAAGATTCCTGCTTTTAAGGACCTGTCTGGACAATCTCTCAAGATAATTCCCAAGTCCTTAACTAAATTTTTTTTGTAAAGTCCCTTTTGGCACATAAAGTGACATATTCACAAGTTCTAGGAGTTTGGCACGGACATTTTGTTGGGAGGGAGTATTTTTCCACTTGCCATTGGAAAAAAGACATAACAGAAACACTGGGTTTGATTCAAAATGATGCGTCTCTTCCCCTGTGTATACAACTAGTCTTGCTACTATTTATTCTTGGATTCATTTCAATTCAATTTTTAATCCTCAGAGTCCTTTTCTCTGCTATAATTCACATGGTACAATGCTGAACACACCTGAGGCTTAAAAGGAATAATGGATATGGGGCTTAGCAAGAACATCCTGACTGGCACATCCTAAGTGCTGTCATCCATTGTCACTTCACAGAGCTGTGCTCTTGTTCTGACTACAGTCCCATTGTCCAAAACACATTTTCTTCTCCTGTTTTCAAATCAAGCTAGTATAGGCTCACAGAAACAAATTAGTTTGGTTTATCTTCAGACATTTTTTTCTTTAATCCAAAAAGATTGTTGCCAAGCATGATCTTGTGTATAAAACATCCACTGATGCACACACATGTGAGAACTTGCAGGCAAGGACACCCAAACTGCTTCTGTCTCTCTTTTTGAAATCTTTTTACTCCAATCTTATCTATTCATTTGATTCTTAGAGTTTCTCCTATTAGATTTCAGTCTACTTCCCAAATTGTGCTTTTGGGAACCAGAGTTCCAAAATACACAGTCAGGGCTTAGGGAGTAAAGGCCACCGGTTAGAGAAGTGTCATGGGCAGTCCAATAGACTCATGGACCTCAGAGATTGAGACATCTTAAGTTACAATAAGAAAACAGGAAAGCACTACTTAACTTGGTTAGAGAGTAAGTAAGCCTGTTTGTGTAGGAAGAGATCTTTTTTTACTGGCATTTCCTGGAACTAATTTCCCATACCTGGGCTATGGAAAGGCAATCCCTAGTTGATCCTGGTCAAAGAGGGATGGAATAGAAAAGGCTACAGATGGCAGAGCAGGTACCAGGGTCTTGGGCGAGTTTAATTAGGTGTGGAGGGGCAGAGTGAGGATCAAATAGACTCCTGAAAAAGACATCACCTTGCTTACTCACCTGGCTTATTGTGCATCTGGAGTACACTCTAAATATGGAACATACACAAATACCAACACACTCTCTACAAATAAATCACTTAATGTTATTTTTGTCATAAATCAGCAGAGGGAGTATTTGATGGTAGCAGGAGGAGCCTCATGCCACAGGTACTTTTATCAGAAGGTTTATTGATGCTGGGTAGAGAGTCTACAGTAGGTATGTATTTTCCATCCAAAGCAAGTTGTTCTCTGCACTGAAGTTCAGGATTTTCCCTGTGTCTGGGCCACCAGTTCCCACATGCCTGCTGGCTGCCAGGCTGGTATGATTACTAAAACAGGCTCCATGCTGTGGTGCTAAGACCTTGATTGATTTCCCATGGATATCTGTCTAGGAAAGTGAGGGAAATGGACCAAGAAAGACAGACGGTACCACAGAAAATAGCGATGTGTTTCCTACAGTAGATGCCAGTAATGCTTGCTCTCCTGCACTCTGTCTTTAGCCAGAACTCCCTGGGGCAGACGAGCTGGTGGCTACAGAGGTTCTAATTCATACCTGAGCTTTAGGCACTGACTTAAATACAGTGGCTTTGGCATGGCCCAACCTAGCTGCGGGAGCCACATAACTGAAACAAATCATCTAGGCTTTCAGAACCTTGGTTCCTTCATTCATTTAAAACATGTAATGAATAAGTACAATATATACAAAAGTACATGTGGACAGGACTTGAAAGCTAGTCAAAAGTCTCCCACATTCACTGGGAGTGTAGAACAAATGATGCTTTCTAGAAGAAGGTATAATACAGGACAGAATATGTTGAAAGCCTTGAGAGAAAGAAAACATAGCTATGAAAGAGAAAGTCCCCAAGCTTAGCAGATGGATGCAGATATTCATCAGGATACACCATGCCGATGGCATCCTGAACTGTGGGTGGAATTCACAGACACAGAGACAGAAAGATGGCACAACTTAGACGGAGACTGTAGCTAGCACAGGGCCACCCTTGTGTCATACATTTTCTTAATTTCAGCTCTCTCTCTAGCTCCATCATAGATACCACAGCTCCATTTCAGCGCCTCCTTCTTTCCTATCAAGATGATCTCAAGAAGCTCTTGTTGACAAATCATTGGCCTCTGCTCTAGCCCAGTCTGGTCTGTCCTCTTGCTGCCAGGATACCTTCTAGTACAATTCTGGTATTTTGTTGGGTTGAATTTCCTTCCTGGATCGCTGTCTCCCCAGGGTGGGACCCAGGTATTCAGTGATTATACATGGCCTCCTTCATGGCCTTTCCACCTTGGTCTGCATCCTTGGAACTGAGCTGCACCAAATGATTTAAAGCTCTCCACCGTGTTCATACCTTTTTGCCTTTTGGGTTGCTCTCCTGCCTGTCTGGGTTGCTTTCCCCTCTTATCACTTCCCCAGCCCTAGACTAGGAGAACAGAACTCCTGGGTAAATCCCCCCTTACCTCAAGCTGTAGGGCTCTTATACCTGCAGACACCTGTCTTTTGAATGAAAGAGAGCTGCTTGAAGTCAGGAATCATATCATGTTTGTGCTTGTACACCTCTTCATCGTCTGAGTTATAGAGCACTTTAAATGTATTTGTGAGAAGAAGGAGAGGAAGAAAGGGATGGAGAGAGAACAGAAGAGGGAGCGAGGCGGAGAGGAAGAGATGAGAGGCGAAGGGAGGGAAAAGATAGGAAAGGGAGGAGAGGGAAGGGAGGACATTGGGTTCTAGTTAGGCTGCTGTGCAGGGAGTGCTAGGTTATTCCTGCTGGTCAGAACCAGCTAAGTTTGCTTGGGTTTTAACAGGCATCTTGAACATGTGGAGCTTTGTCCATGAGATCATTCTCTCCTTTTCAGCCCTAACTTCTATGAATCTATGAATGTAGCTACTGTGTTACCCTTTCTTTACACTTCAAGTGTAACTTTATTTTCCTTTTACGTTAAAGGAAAAAATGTGCCACGTTTTTCCTGCTTACATCTACAGGGACTGTGTGTTTTCCCTCAAAGTGTACTTTGCTGGAGTTATGGTCCTTCACTTGCTCAGGAATTTTTATTTTGTTTTTTTGTTTCACTTTGTGAACATCAAAGGAAAGATGTCAGAGAAGTTGGAATCAAAAATAAAATAATGTCTCCCTGTGCCGAGATTTCACTAACAAGATCATTCATTGAAACTGCTTAGCTGTGTTTTTTAGCTATTTAATAACAAGCACTGTGAGACTGAGTTTGAGGAATTTCAGGCCCAATTAAACACATCCATCTCTATATTCCAGAAAGTGCCAATAGCTATTGCTGTCCATAATTGTTTCTCTAAATAGCAGCAAAGGAAATATGAAAAAGACTGTTGGTGCTAAAATTAAAGTATTCAAGGCAAAATGGATGCTTTTAGACAAGATTTCACTTTGTAGCTCAGGATGGTCTGGAACTCATGCAATCCTCCTGCCTCAGCACTGGAATTGCAGGTATGAGCCACCATGCCTGGCTTAAAATGTATTTTTTTAATGGCTGAAATTAAAACTTCATTCTGAATTACTAGAATTATGTTGGTGGATGGTATGCTTGCTTGTTTGGTTTTTGTTTGTTTTGGTTGGTTGGATGACCGGGATTTTTCATTTGAAGTAGGAACAAGTATCTTTATTGAACTAGAGATCAATTTTGTTGAACTGGCTCACAGTCGTCTTCCAGCAAAGTAACAGAGAGGGCTGGATGCTGGAATTCATTCACTGAGCTCAGGTGCCAGATTTCTCGTGTCCTTACTGTGTGACCTTGGGCAAGTAATTTAAGTTCTCTGAGCATCATTTTCCTAGTCTGAACACTAGGAATACTGTCTTATACAGTCTTTATAAGGAACACTAGTTGATCTTATAGGAATACTGTAGGGATAAAAGAATCACTTTACAAGGGAATTAGATGGATTAAGTGAGCTAGCATGTAAGAAGTACCCAGAAGAGTGGCTGGTAAAAGCAATCTATTAATTACTGGAGTTGATAGTTTCTGAATATATTAAAATGTCACTTACTTATTTTTGATTGCTGACTTTTGTTTTTGTTTTGTATCTAATGTTCCCAAAGCTGTTTCTGTGAGGATTTTATTTAGTGGTAACATTTTTGTCTGCATCAGGACCTGTCAGTGGATACTGCTGCCTCTAGGGATTTGCTCATTTGGAACCAGAGGCAGCAGGCAGCAAGGGAAGAGGGCCTAGCTGGTGTGTTTATTTCCAAAAGGAATTTGAGATGCTGCAGAGAGAGAGAGCTGCATAAATCTTACTTTTACAAACAAGTTTTTCTTGTGGAAATTGAGTATTTTAAACAGAATCAACACTTTTCTAATATTCCGGCAATGTACTGTACAGTTTTAAATATTTTTCTTCCATCACTTTCCAATCTAGGTAGTTGAAGCAAAAAACTCAGATTGGCTAGTTATACAACTTGAAATAAAATCCAGCCATTCATTCATTCAATTAACACGTATCTTTGGGTGCCTGTCATGTCCCAGGCAATCCCACAGGCTGGGGATGCAGAAATCCCTCAGCTAGACAAAGATACAGTCTTGTGTAACTCACTTACCAGGATGGAGCTGCTTTACAGCTAGAAGTTGGGATTGTCTTGTCCACCTATTTCCAACTAATTGCTGAGTCTTCTAAAGAACTTGAGGGAAGATTTCATTTAATGGCCCGACCTTATAAATAAACTTGGAGACTTTAAAATGACTTGAAGATCCAGAATCTTACATTTTCCTCAAAACATTAGGATAACATTTTTTTTCTTTTTTTAAAGATTTTTAAAACTTTTATTTAAAACACCTGGCATGGTGGTACATGCCTTTAATCCCAGCACTTGGGAGGCAGAGGCAAGTAGATCTCTATGAGATAGACGCCAGCCTGGTCTCAATAGCAAATTCCAGGCCAGATGGGGCTATGGAAGACCCTATCTAAAGAAACAGAAACAACCAAATGAAACAAAATAAAATTGTATTTAAATTGTCTGTATCTGTGTGTGTGTGAGGGGATGGGTGGGTGCGTTTGTGCACGTGAGTCCAGTGCCCAAAGAGGCTAGAAGGAGGCATCAGATCCCTTGGAGATGGAGTTGGAGCTGGAGTTGCAGTTGTAAGTCCCCTAGTGTGGGTGATTAGACTTGAACTCAGATCCTCTACAAGGGCAGAGCACTCTCTTACCTTTGGAACCATCTTTCTATCCTCAAAGTTTTCAAACATACCCAACAGAAAAAATTTTAGAGTGAGTAGCTATGTAACCAATACCAAGACTCTACCATGGTATACATACATGTGTATTTTTTAAATATTTATTTTATGTGTATAAGTGTTTTGCCTGCATGAATGGACATATACCACATGCATACAGTACCTTCAGAGGTCAGAAGAGGGCATCAGATCCCCTGGAACTAGAGTTATAGATGGTTGTTAGCAACTATGTTGGTACTGGGAATTGAACCCAGGTTCTCTGGAAGAGTAGCCAGTGCTCTTAACCACTGAACCGTCTCTCCGGTCAATGCATGCATATTTTTAAATATGATTCTCTTGTGTTTTGTTGATTACTCATCTAATTATCAGATGGCACAGTAAAGAATAGGTCTGTACTAATAGTTGAAATCAGTTAATATTTTGTTGTTTTTTTATTAATAAGACAAAAGGAAATGCAAGGCTGGAGGGAACAGGTGACAGCTCCAGATTTCAGTTTAGTAATGGACTTGGGCAAATGTTTAAATGACTCTTTAATGTAAGAAACTAGTTGAAGCTGGGCATGGTAACATACGATTTGGGACCAAATTATGAAAGAAAATTTAATATAAGGACTTGGACTTTATCACAAATTTGGGCATCACTGAATGATCTGAAGGAGGTGAAAAGCTGCCATCTGTAAAATCACTGGGCTTCCCGAGTTGCATGCTGGAGAAAGACATCAGCAGTTGTGTCTATGGTGCTCTGGAAGGGAGGTCTTCAGTTGCTGAAGTCAGTCAGGAGAACATAGCAAATTCCTTGGTGTGAGACGCTAAGCTCAGCACGCAGGTTGGGGAGGGCAGTAGTGATGGATATGAGAAGAGATGCAATTGTTTAAAGTAACTGTCTGTGGGGATTGGAGAGATGGCTCAGGGGTTAGGAACACTGGTTGCTCTTGCAGAAGACTCAGGTTTGATTCCCAGCACCCAAATGGCAGCTAACAACCGTCTTAACTCCAGTTCCAGGGTATCCAATGCCCTCTTCTGACTTCTGCAGGCAGTGTATGACACTGGTACACTTACATACATGCAGGCAATACACTCATACACATAAAAATAATTTTTAAAAGTATTAAAAGTGTGTATGTCCATGTGTGTTATCTGTGTGTGTCTGTGTATGTGTTGAATACAACAGGCAGGGTACACTGAGATGTAGAAGAGACAGCAAAACTCTGGGTGGGCTACTGGTACCTGCTCAGCAGAATTCACTGTAGGACTCTCTTCCTCTCCCAACTGTTTCTTCTGTGATAATGCATGTGTGGCTTGAAATCAACTGAGGAAGAAGCCTTTCCACCTCCAACATCTGCAAACACTACAAATCATAGCCTCCCCCCCCCACCCCCAGACTGTAAGAAGTGAACTAAGAATTTTGAGTTTGGATAACAACAGAGCAGAGTTTTGACACGGTGCTGAGTCTGGTTGGGGACTGTTGAGGTCGAAGTAACAACAGGAAACAATCTGACAACTCATGTTCTAGCCATGAATTCCATCCCTTTGCATTCTAAGAGGGATTATGAAAATGTTGCTCCATAAACATTACCTGTGAATTAAAACAGAAATATAGCAGCCTTCTGAGGATACCTGTTTCCCATTATAAGTGTAATTTTATTGAGGTAACAGTGAAAACATTTTTTTGTAAAAATTTTACATCAATAGCGAAGCTTCTTATTGTCCAAAGTAGCTAAGCCATGGTATTAAATAAGAATTTATCTGAGAATTCATGCATTGTGTTGTAGAGATGTAGGAAGAGTCCTGTCATCACACTAGAGAGAAAGTTGAATGAGAATGGGGGGTTTCATAAATCCCATCTTTACTTGAATTCCTCTAGTGCCCTGGAGGCTGAGCCCTTTGCTTTCCCTATAGATATGCTTTATTTTTTAAAAATTGGATAAAATAACTATGTAGAAGATATTTGTGAAATAGCGGTGAAGCCTTCCTTAGAAGACAACACACAATGTGCTGTTTGCTGTAGAAATTTGACAAGGATGTATCAGTAAAAAATGTAGGTTACAAAACAGCATTGCTACACGATGCTAGTTTTGTAGCCCAAACCTCCTATGTCTCTGCATAAAATAGCTGAAGAAGCAAAATTGCTTAAAGAGGCTATTTATGCTTGGTGAAACTACAGACTGCTATCTGCTTTATTCTTGTTACATAGCTGTTTCCACCAAAGCTGAGAAAAATACCTCCTTCATGGAAAGATGTACCATTGTTCCTTTCATCCTAGGTAACCTGAAATTTATTTTCTGCTTTTACAGGGAGTTCCTGGAGCAAAGGGCGAGCGAGGTGAACGAGTAAGTCTTGTGGGGCTGTGTAACCTGTAGGTGGCTGTACACAGCCCATTGCCTGAGCCTGGTGAATAATGGCCCCTCCTCTCTGATGCCCACTGCTGTTACACAAGTCTCATTTGGGAGCACATTTCCCAGGAGAAGTTCAGATTGGCTGGACTCCAGGGGAGCGTTTCTAGTCGAGTATTTGCTATCATCCGGCTCCTTGGCCTTGGATAATATTCATTAAGGGTAAAGATGGGGAGACAAACTCACCAAACTCACAAAGTGGAATAGATATGGAAATAATATAATGGGTGTGAAAGGGTCTTAGAAAAGATGTGACTTTGCGCAAATGTCAGAGACTAGTGTGGGAATCCTATTTCCCAGAGTTGGCATACAGGAAGACGGAGTGGGATGGAATTAAAGAACTGGCTCTGAAATTTAAATCAGTTGCATTAGGTGCCTGCTCTCGCTTTTCAGAAATGGTAATGCTTCTAATGTAAACGTGCAGGTGGCCATGGTAAAAATAGCACTGGTCTCAGGTTCATCGGGATACTTCTATGAAAATGTGCTTAGTCCTGCTTGGCTATAACGTGGGCTCAACATCTTTCCTCTGAGCTGTTATTAGCATAAAATGAACCACCGCTTAAGAATTCTGTGCTTATAAGTCCTAAAGAAATGTAAATGAGTTATTGAAGATATCTGTATATATGTTTATAAATTATGAGAATTTTTGTAGAATCTGGGACTAGAAATGCTTACTTGAGTTCATGAATCTAATAAGGAAAGGCTTTCAGGGGCTCTGAACCCTGAGTGCAAATGGCTTCCTCTGCATGCACCATGGTGGTCAATCCTCCCTGTTGCTAGGAGCCCAGCATCTTGATGGGAACAATGCATCAGGTCAGCCATATCCTTGCTGAGTGGCTGTGCTTGAGGAGTATGCTTTCTTCCCATCCAGGGAGACCTGCAGTCTCAAGCCATGGTGAGGGCAGTGGCACGCCAAGTATGTGAGCAGCTCATCCAGAGTAAGTGCACCTTCTAGTGACCGGCTTGTGTCTCATTCCTGACTGCATGGGAACCTGCCTTTCCCATAACTGGAGCAACTAAAAAAAAAAAATAAATAAATAAATAAAAAAAACTCTCTAAAGCTTTGCATTCCTACAGACGGATAGCTTTACAGACCCAATCTCTGATCTAAGAGCCTATCAGATAGTCCCAGAGCTCTACGTTGATGGCACAGTAGCCAGACTCCCATGTCCTCAGTCCAGGAACCATTGGTTTGCCCGTGAAGATTTAGTTTGACTGCTCAAATCAGATCTTCCATTTCTTCCTCTCCCAGCAAATGTCTAGATTTTTTCCCCACCCGAAGTGCTCAGTATTTGAAGACTGATAGATCATGTCTTCAGAATCAACCTTCAAGAAAATGACTCATGGTGTTAATTTCTACTAACTCACAGATTTTAATCATGATCCTTTTCTTAGCCATTTTACTTCATTTACCTTTGGTTAGCCTAGGGCATGTCCCTTGATTCCTCAAGCTATCTGCCAAAATACACACATAAGGTGATAGGGTTGATGTGACATCTGATATGACAGTTGGACTTAGTTTCTAAAATCATTCTGGAACGTACATGACATAACATTTTCCCCTTTTCTTCGTTTTCAAACCTGAACCTTTTCAACAGCATATTTTGATAACAGATTCCTGCCTGTTCACTTGCATACTTATGTGTTTGGTACAGATGCCCACTCACTTAACACATTTTATCTCTCAGAAACCTAACCACCAAGTTACTAGGGTGGGCCCTTCTCATTCCCTCGAATGCTTTTAGTTCCAGATTATCTGAGGCCAAGTAAATAAAAAATTCCTCTCCAACCCACCCAGCTCTAGCGGAACTCCATGTCTATCCATCCCCCACGCTGGTAATTCCTTCTTCCTCCAGGGCTGATATTTTCAGGGTGGCTGCCTTATCTGCTTCAGTCTTGTATTTATTTTAAACCCAGGGAAGTTTGGGAGTCAGGCCAGTGGAGCCCAGCGAGTGTTCAAGATCTGTTGGCCAGGTCTGAAATTCCACTTGTTCAATTGGGATAAACCCAGACCTTTCCCTGGGGAGGTGCAGATGGAAACCTGCATGGATTTTCCTTCAGGCAAAAGTATTCATGCAAAGGGTGGGCAAAGCTACTATCATCAGGCACAGGCATCTTCTTCCTTATGTTTTAGCTCTATTAAGTTTTATTGTGCCCACACCAAATATGTGTGGAAGAATTTACCAATTAAATGAGATGGTTCCAGCTGAATGACAGAATAGGATCTTTAAAAACAGTAAATTCTAAAAGGGAAACTGGACTTCAGTCACTTCTAAAGTCAGATGTAGGCAAAGCTCACTTGTGTCCCACATTATTTCTCATCTGAAGTGGGCAGTATAAATGAGTGCAGACCATGCTCATAAGAAAATGTGCTGGGTTAAATCTCTGTATGACTCCCTGACCAAAACAGGAAGGAAGTTTCACAATATTTGCCGACTTATTCCACTATAGAATTAAAACCATGTACAATATATGATTACTTAAAATAGATCCTCAAAATTGTCAAAATTGAGTTTTCTCCCTTAGGAATTCTCAGATTCTCATGAATGACTTCTAGGAAGTGGAGTCAGGAGTTAGAAAAGAGCTGAACTGGACCCTAGGGAGGGTTTGGCCTCACCTTCCAAATCTCACTTTCCAAAGATGCTGGAAAATTAGGCACTATTGTATCAAGTGTTTTAAGTCTATACTTGTAATTATTAAAGTGCATTCTTCCAGACATAACTGAGTTAAGGGGTTATGAGAGAGAGCACCAGATTTTTTATTTTATAAAGATCAAGGGTGAGGGGCAGCTTGCAGCTGGGACCCAAGTAAAGACTCCTGAAAAAAAGGCTTAGCAATTGAGAGTTGAGTGAAGACAGAGGACTTGTCTGGGGATTTGAGAGCAGGAGGGTGGGACAGGCTTTGTGGACTGGAAAAAAACAAGTGAGTAATGTGGAGGGAAACTGCGGAAGACAACGGCAGCTGGGTGAGGGTTCAGGGGTCAGATAAATGTTGGGGTGAAGATAAAATTTATGATTTCTGCTCAGTGATGTTTATTGCAATGCTGACGTGAGCTGTGGAATTCCAAATACATGAGATGTGACTTGAATATAATCCAGTCGTTAATATCATCCAGAGTAAAATGCAACATATTCTGTTACAAATCAACTTACTCAAAGGGGTGTGCCTTTTCCTCAGCAGATATCTGACAAGGTTGTTTGGAGCTTTGAGAAAGGACACCCCAGTATCCCCTTTATTTGTGTGACAGTTCATTTATGTGTCATTGCTAGGTCACATGGCCAGGTACACGGCCATCCTCAACCAGATCCCCAGTCACTCCTCATCCATCCGGACAGTCCAGGGGCCTCCTGGGGAGCCTGGGAGACCAGGTTCACCTGGAACCCCTGGAGAACAAGGACCTCCAGGTTCACCAGGCTTCCCAGGAAATGCAGGTGTGCCAGGTACCCCAGGAGAACGAGGTAAGCTGGATCATTTCTCTCACAGGTCTTCTATGGAGATGGGGACAGTAGAGCAGACTATAATGGTGGCGCTTATACAATGATAAAGTCTGAAGAATGGACCAAAATTAATTCTGACGCTACTGTTCAATTTCTTCTTTGTCCCAGAGGTTGAGAAAATTGAGCAGCAGACACATTTATCTGAGCCACATCTGCTTAATATAGCAAAGGAGAGTCAGAAGCTCCAACTCACCTCTAAGGCGCTCTTGAACTAATGCTAAAAAGAGTTCCCCAATAGATAGATGAATTAAGAAAAGATGCCACTCCCAGTTTGAAGGATTAGAAAATGATGCCCCACTCCGGGCAGATCTGCTATCATATTTGTATCATAGCAAACACAGAACTTGATCTGTATACTGCTCTGATGAGTGTGATGCACACATGATTCTATTTAGTAATTTCATGGTCCAATGCTTGTCTTTCCTACTAAAGTTTCATTAAAATTCTGACTCATTTGAATTTCATTTACTTTCAAAAATTGACCAAGACTTCTCATTCCAAAAGCAGATAAAAGAGATGTATGAATATGAAATGACATTGACCATGAAGAAAGTGATTTCCACAAGAATCAAGGGCTAGAAGCATTGCTTAAGAAACACTTCTGTGGATCTGGGAACAGCTAGCTATGGCCTGCCTGTTCTGTCAGTCATACCACTTTTTTGAGATGCATGGGGTATTTCTTTTTACAAATCTGGGATGTAATATACAGATTACAAAGGCAGAATTTCATCTCCATTCTTGATCCATGCCAATCAGCAGTAAGCAATGCTTTTCACTTCATAGAAACTCACTACCTGTCTGTCACACTGATTATGATCTGGTTATGATGGTGATCCAAGGTACAAAATCGTAAAGAAGGGTTTATTTCCTTCCCAGCACACCAAAGATCTGGCCACCAGGAGGGAGTCCATCTCTGTCATCAGGGTACCTGCCAATGGTGTTGGTGATGGAGAAAGTGACTCAGGAAGCACAGAGCCAGGGCCTGAGTCACCCCATCAAGCCACATGCTGTCTTTGCTCTTTTTGGAAACCTTGCTTTGTTCTTGCCAAACTGAATTTTTCCTATGAAGCAAGATTGCTTGAGTGATTAGACCAGAGAAAAATCATCTAGGAGTTCTCAAATCATAGCCCAGACAACCATTAGACATAAGAATTTCGACAATGTCATTTTCTTACATACATATAGATATGTTCCCTTTAAGATGAGCAAACAAAGTCCTACCTATATTTCACAAGTACACAGGGTGACAGGAACACAGAATGTGAGGGAGGTCCGTTGAGCATAGGGAAAGTGATTTTAGTTGATCACCAGCTGAGGGCTGTGGCAAGGGGGATCCTCATCCCTTGCAAAGTATTTCACTCACAGCTGGACTCCATTCCTGCAAGGTGAGCAATGATGTTTCGTTCTTAGCCTTGTGCTCCTACCTAGAAAAGTTCGAGAGAGAAATGAATCCACCAAGCCAGAAAAATAGACTTTGAAATTGAAATCTTTAGCCATCTGTCCTTCTGGCTTGCCAGTTCTGGGTAAAAGGAAGCATATGAAGGTATTGAGGCCAAATGGGCCTGAAAGTCAGTCAGCATCAGGACTGGAAATAAGAACCAGAGACTGTTTTTCTGCTATCTAAGCTACGATTTTCATGATGCTGTATAAGACCATCTTAAAAAGACACTATTTTTGTAATGAGGAAAAATAAGTATTATTAGTAGGCAATATAATAAACTATGAAAGCAAGATTAAAAGAAACGTGGCTGCAGAGCACAGCCTGCTGTAATACTCAAATGAAACTCACTTTCTGCTGAAGCTAAAGACTCATGACTTCCTTCACTTTGGCTGGTTTTTCAGAAGTTCTGCATCTGGTTTCTCTCTTGTAAATTTTCAAGTTTTTAAAACATGCCACACAGTAAAATATAGATGATGATGATGATGATGGTGGTGATGATGATGGTGATGGTAATGGTGATGCTAGATATAGATGAATGGGTAGATAGATGATAGATTGATTGATAGATAGATGATAGACAGATAATAGCTATAGATAGATGGATAGATGATAGATTGATAGGATAATAGACAGATAATAGATGATAGACAGATGATAGAAAATAGGTATAGATAGATGGATAGATACATAATAGACAGATTGACAGATAATAGACGAATAATAGACAGATGATAGATGATAGATAATAGATATGGATGGATGGATTGATAGATAATAGATATAGATGGACGGATGATAGAGAGATGATAGATATTGTGGAAAGCTTGTGTAGTAGCCATGCAAACATGAAACTGGAGTGAGAGGAAAAACATTCTTTCTTAGGTTTCCTGTTTTCTTCTCTCATTAAAAGCCTGCGGGGGAGATGTTTTAGTTTCCTTTCTGTTGCTGGGGTAAAACGTCCTGACAAAAAATCAACTTAGGGGAGGAAGGGTTTACTTTAGCTCACAGTTCCAGGTCACAGTCCATCCTGGCAGGAAAGTCAAAGAAGTAGGAGTTAAAAGAGCTAGACACATCACAGCCACAGTTAAGAGCAGAGAGAAATGAATGTGTGCTCGCAAACTTAGTCCTCGGCTAGCTTTCTCTGTACAAATACAGTCTAGGACCCAAACCAGGGAACAGTGCTGCCCTCTTTCAGGCTGGGTCTTCCTACATCAACTAACGCAATCGAGATAACCCCGCACAGAAATGCCCACAGTCTCTCGTCGAGGCTCTCTTTCCCAGGTGATTCAAGGTTATGTAAAGTTAACAATTAAACTAACCATTACAGAAGACCTTGGGTTTTTATCATCTCAGTTTGAAAAATACAGTGTCTTTTGTTAACTCCCTCCTTATGTAACTGGCCTCCTTACATAACTGGTCTTTGCATTTAAGAGATCAGGAGAAAAATGACGGATGTGGCCTTGGTCTAAGCCATGTGACTTTAAATGGATCTCCCTTGTGCCTCACTGAGACTGTACATTTGCTCCCTCTGATTATCTGCCTCTCTCCTCCTTGACCTCTGCCTCCTTTCACATCAACAAGCCTTCAACTTTGTGTGGAACAGTGGTCTTTCGTTTATCTTCTCACCCGGATTGTAAAGCAGAGAGAATGGCCCGAATGGAAGGCTTCAACAAGATCTTGCTACTAATGCATGAACTCTAACTTTTATTTTTGCTTGCTGGCACTCAGAGTTGAAAGGGCTCCATATGCATAGCAACATTCTTTCACACAATTTCTTCTCATCTTCTTTTCCTTGCCTTGTTAGCTTTTGTCAAGGGAAACTTCTGTGGATCACCATTTCCTTTGCTCTCTTCCTCTCTACACCTTGCACTGTCTTCTAGGAAAGGGTTTTTTACATGGGGATTCTTGCTATTGGCAATTTCAGGAAAGGAGGAGGGCTAGACCTCGCCTTCTTCCTTGATTTCTTGAACTGTCACAGTCCACTCCTGGCTATTCAGACCTCAATGGCTTGTCCAGTGTTGGGTTTGGGTGATTCCAATCAGATTTCCATGGTAACAGACCATTTCAGAATGCCTCCTCTGTTTATTTCCTTACTCCATTTACTGAAAAGTTCATAGCCACACTACTATCTTGAATTAAAATAGAACTATGCCAAGTCAACACTGAGTTATTTACACAAAATGAGCTATTTAATTGCAATTCATGTTTTTATTTACTTGGAAACAACCAGTACATTTTCTTCACTTCTGTCCTCCAAAAACTCCTTTTTCTGTTTTTCAAAATTGTTGGATCAGAAGCACCACCCGACTCAAAACTTCCATTTTTATTGTTCATCCTTGATGGCTAGATTTCATATTTGATTTGTTTTCTACAATAAATCAGCAAATTTTATTCAATACAGGCTTTTGTAAGGTTTTATAGCTTCTCCGTGTGTGAGATAATACTATTATTGGTGGCTATAGCTCACTCAGCATCAAATGCCTCTGCCAGCTACTGTCATGGGCCTGTGCACATACTGCCTCAGTCAGGAAAGTTAAGAACTGGTTCAGATAGGGAAGGAAGATGACATGTTGCTGAGTATACAGGTGGGGGGAGGGTACGTGCTCTGAGCTATTTAGAAAGTCAATGGTTTCAGGATTTAGAGGAAGACATAATTGTGGTCTTTGATGAGAAAAATGCTAGTGTGTATGAAGAAAACACCATGTGTTATTACTAAGCATGATATGATACTCGTAAAAACCTTATGAGCTCAGGATCAGCCCTTTTTTGTGATGTTGAGGGTCAAATCCATAGCATTGCATATGTTATACAGGCACTTCACTACTGAGTTATATTTTAGCTCTGGAGTAGCCCCTCCGTGTGTGTGTGTGTGTGTGTGTGTGTGTGTGTGTGTGTTTATGTGTTTGCGGGTATACATGCATGTGGGAGATATGCACATGTATGTGTGGGGTGTGCACTTGCACATGTGTGCAGGTGCTAATGGAGGCCAGGAGGCAACTTCAGATGTGATTCCTCAGGTGTCCTTCACTTTTGTGTATGTGTATATGTGAGAGAGACAGGATCTCTTGCTGACTTGAACTTGCCAATGGATTAAGTTGGCAGGTCAGGAAACCCCAGCAATACTCTTGTCTCTGTCTCCCCAGTACTGAGATTACAAGTGTACACTACCGTGTATTATTTTGATGTGAGTTCTAGGGATCAAACTTAGGTCCTTGTACTTGCAAACCAAGCACTTTACTGAGTACGTCCCCTGCCCTTCTGTTTTATTTTGTTATATTTTTAGACAGGTTCTCATATAGCCTAGTCTGGCTTTGAACTTACTATGTAGCTGGGGCTAGTCTTGAACTCATGATTCTCCTGCCTTTACCTCCTAAGTACTGGGATGACAGGTGCACAGCCTTGCCCAGCCAAGCCCTTTTTAGGTGAAGAATCTTCAGGAGATCTAAACTGCTAATTATCCAAAGTCACAGAGCAGGACAAGGGGACCAGGACCTAGGATCTGTATGATTCCAGAAAGTCT